ACTTGAAAATTGGATATGCGCACTTCAATAGTCATTTCTAAAACAACCTTTGCATGCTAGCGTCTCATTACACATGTGACTTTGATAGAGTAAGGTCATAAGGGATACCTAAATCCAACATCAAGCAGCGCATCCCATGCTCTATAGGGAGGGTTCTACATTCCACTAGGGTGCATATAAATTGGTATCAAAGCTAAGTGGTTGATGGTTTTGGAAAAGCCAGCCTCCAAGGTGTTCTAGCTAGTGAAAGGTTTTAACCCGTGAAGAAGTTAAGTAAAGCATCACTAAGCGAAGTGTTGCAGAGTGTAACTGTCTAGACATCAACTCTCTAAAGAGATCCAATTGATGGAATACTAAAGCAGTATATGATGCCCAAATCGCACAATTGACTAGAATAGTATGGGATGCTCCATCAGGTTTTAAATGGGTTAATTCTCCCACCCCAGTAACTAGCTTTCATGGAAATTTTCCATTCCACATTCTATTTGGGTACCCATCAAGCATTCATAACTATTTCATGATTGCTATGTTCTATCAAAAGACCACGACAGATTGTCAGAGTCCTAAATAATGAAAAACCACCCAGAACTAGCATCTAAAACAGTTAAAATTCAAAGAACAGCTCCTTGTCTTGTACTCCCTCACTAATACAAATTAGATTCCATCATGTATGAATAAATTTAGGTAAATATTCCATATATGTTAAACTACGAAAAAGTCTACTTCAAAATTATGATGGATCTTATAAGGGTTACATCTTCAAAAAGAAATGATTAGTTGATTTATACTATAGATTTTGCAGGTTCATTTGGAATCGGAGATTATTTGACAAACTACCAGCTCTCTGAATAGCAAATGTCATGGGAACAACTGATACATACAGCAAGTCCTGTCAATTCTTACTTACAACATAAGGCCGCTTATTTAAATAGGAAATATTTTCAAAAGCTATTCATTCTTACAACAACAACAACAACAAGCCTTTATCCCACTAGGTGGAAATGAGAAAATAGGAAATATTTTCAAAAGCTATTCATTCTTGATTGAGAAAATTCCACCTTGCCTCCTAGGTCAATTTGAGGGATGCAAATGGTTTGCATGGCCTAACATGCTCATTACAACTGCAGTATTCACACAGCTACCACACAAATTAAGCATTATCAATGTTCTAAGCAATTGCGTGAGTTTTTTTCACTTGAACAATTTAAACCCTTTATCCATGAATCTTGCCAGGTTCAGAAAACTCATGGATGAGTATTGCTAAGGTCTTCCAATTAGATGTTAAAATTTTCTTCAGAATGTAACAATTTTGAATTCCGAGTAACGTGAAAAGGGAACCATAACACATAGGAGACTTACAAAAATGCTTGCAGTAATTTACATATGGGATATATTACATGTAATCATTTTATTTTCTGCTCACTTGTATAGATTATATAAGGATTGATGAGACAAAATGATTAGAAAAGTTGTTCCAAGATTCTCTGTCTTCCTGTCATCAATGTGTAATGTCCCAACTATAGTAATTTCCCACGGCTACTTGTTGGATTTTCTTGAACAATATGTCAATATATATTGATTTCAACAACAACAACAAGCCTTATCCCACTAAGTGGGGTCAGCTACATGGTTATATGACGCCATTGTGCCCCATCAATTCAACTATACAAAAAACAATGAAATGGCTGCTTCACTAATGTAGTGCAATCACTCACCTTAAATGCAGGTTCAGCCTCTTCTTCGCCAGGCTTGTCAGAAATCTCTATCACCCACTTCATGCAACGAATGTCATAACAATCACTTACTACTAAGATTTTTAAGCTTCCCTCACATCTTAAAAGACATTTAAGTCATGAACAAACTGCATGAAGAAGGGAAAAAAGAAAAGAAGGAAAGAAGGAAAAGGAAAAAAAAATTACCAGTGGAACTCCATTCACACTCTTCCCAATACTGATAAAAAATCCCTCGAAGAGAGAAACAAACCACAAATCAGTTTATCCATCGCCAAAAAAATTTTAAAATAAAATATTGAGGTCCAGTTAGTCATGAAAGCTGTTATTAAAATGTCTTGTGGAAGCCATTCGCAGAAGAGTAATCTGGAGATGGATAATCAATCAAGCACATGTCTGAGGAATCACCTGTATATTCTAGAAATGTTGCTGCACCTTCGTCCAAAATCCTTAATTGCCATTTCAAGGTCGGAATTGGTCATGTACCCGCCAGACAAGTCAAAAGTACTTCGGCAAAAAGGGGAACAGATTTGAAGTTAATGCACAAAACGGGAAAACAACAACTGCGTCACAGTTACTTAGATAAAGTTCCACAGCCAATACCTTGTCTGACTCTGAGTTTGATGGTCCTCAAACAAGTGCCTTGCATGACTTGCACCACCACTAGTGTTTAAGCCTTACAAAATTAAGATAAACTAACAGTTAGAAACACAACAAGTTTTGAAAAAATAAAGAAATCCGCCAATTTTCTACATATAACTTTACTTCCTCGTGGAACTGACTCATCGTATCAGATTTCATTGAGCAAGGAATCAAGTTTTCCCGGTTCAGTGCTTTTTAACAACAAATTCAGGGCTCCAAGTTCACAATTCTTTCTCAATTCAAAATCTTCCCGGAAACCAGGAAGAAGCATATGGAAGATATTGAGATATAGTATTCTAAGGAACTAAGAAGAAAAAGACCTGAAGGAACAGAGCCCCATAAGCCTCCCCTGGCAATACAATGACGAGAAAGAGATATAATTGTAGACAAAAGAAGGAGAAGAGAGAAGAACAGCTTCATAATCGTCGACGATAATGAATTGCAAGCTTAAACATCTGAAGTATGTTAAGTTGTCAACGTCTTCAATGTCCTTTGAATCAGTTTCTTGATCTCCGGCAACCGCGATGCCTCTTCACGTGCACCCGCAAGGAGATCGCGCGTGAGCGTACGCGCAACGTTCTTTTTTTTTATTATTTTTATTTTTAATCCTTGTCGCCAAGCAAATCCTTTTTCTTGGTCAACCATTTTGTTTTTTTAAAAGGGAAAATATAACTTTTTTCTTATTCGAATCAAGTTTGAGTTAGAAAAGCGGGTGGGCTGAAGGGCCGAATTTATTAGAATGAACTCGAATATATCAAGCCCAGCCATAAAATTATTATTTTAAGATTTTTCATAATATTAAATATTACTTTCAATTTTAAGGCATTTCAATTTTGTTCTTTCCACACACAAATGTCAACTGACAGATCCTTCACAATAACAAATCCACTAACATTTTAAGTTAATTAGTTGAAGTCAGAAATACAAATAACAAACTAAATAACAGTCACAAAATAAGCTTATTATTCATACCTATTCATATAACCTAGATGAAATAGTCCATCAAGCTAAGCTATATCAAAACTTTGGGGTGGAGTAGGGATCCACCTCCACGCAACTCATGTATTAGTTTCAGATAAGGCCATAAAGGATTTATTTAGGAAAAATGACAAAACAAATTTCTTTAAAAAATGCAAATAATAATATGGTCCTACAAAATATGATAATTTTTTGCAAATTCCCTGGGACCTATATGATATTAATGTATATCAGTCAATAATATTAATTTTGGATGTTATTTTCAATGAGTCTCATGTTGGTGTCTTGTTAAGTAATAAAAATTAGACTTTTTTAGCAAAAAAATAGACACATTTATTAAAAAAAATATTTTAACCAACGTTTAAAATCCCAAACTAGTTTAACCATCACTTGGTGAAAAAAAACAAGATGCCTTAGAGCATCAAACCACTTCAAAGGTTGACTCGAATTAGACCATTCAAAGTTAGAATTTGAATTGAAAACTAAAATAAAACCAAAACCCGAAATGGGTAGTGTAGAACAAGACAAATGGATGAGATCCAAGAAAAAAAAAATTAAACTTTGAAATGATTTTATCTATATAAAATGTTGGCCCTTGCATTTTTAAGAATAAAATTATAAAAAAAATAAAATTATTGTTATTATTATAGCTCAAATATTAATGTTTTAAATAACTCAAAATTACAAAAATTAAGTTGCATTGAGTTAAAATTCAAGAATCAAATTATAACTGAATTCATTGAGTTATATTATGTTAAAAGCTGAATTACAATTATTGAATTAAAAATATAAAAATTAAATGATTAATTTTATCTTTTTTTTAATTTAAAAAACAAGGTGAATTGAGTCAAACATCATAAAAACTAGGTATAATTGTATATCATGCATCCATGTTTGATTCGGGGACTGTTTGATAAGGAAACGAAATTAAGAAGTCAGCTTAAGAGAAAGAGATAAATAAGCATATAAATTTAACTAGTTAGTTGGTAAAAAATAAATAAATAGAGATTTAACTAGTTAAGACGGGAAAATAAATTACTCATTATTGATATGATAATTATTGATATGATAATTGAGGGCTCAGAGCCCCTTACATACACTAATGTTCTTTGTAATGCATCATCTTTCAAATTTTGTTTTTCTTTCTTCTTTTGATCATTAACTTCCATATACAATGTTAAGTATTTGTTTACCCAAAAAACTGGAGCATTTTGACATCTTGCAACTCAAAAAACGACACACTCTTGTACTTGTGTGTTTTTTTTTTTAAAACAATTTTTCAAAGAAAAATATCAAAATTACACAACTTTATGGTATTTTTCTTTGAAAAATCATTAAAAAAAAATACACACACACACCATTTCAATATTGCAATATCTCTCATTTTATATGGAAATTTGACAAAATATTCCAAAGGGAAATTATTTAGATGAAGTCCCATTGGAATTTTTTTTTTTTTTTTTTTACTAAACATTAGAAATTTAGAAGCCCCAAGAAAACTATCTCTAAAACCACCATTCCCGTTAAACCATTTCATTCAGGCCGTGTGTAAAAGATTAGAGTGAAATATGAAAATGCACCCCCAAAAAAACATATCAAATATAAAAAGCCATTATTCTACCAAAACTTTAGTCAATGCAAAATTGCAAATACTCCAAATCCAAGCCAGTGGACAAGATAAAAGGCTCTTCCTCTGGTTTCCAGTTGTTAGGGATGTTAAATCGCAATCAGAGTTGACTATTGACTAATTACAAAAACAAATAAAGCCACAGCAAAGAAAGAGGGGAAGAAGAGGCATTCTCCTCTCAATGAATATTAATTAACAAAAATATAATCACAACTACTAATTTCTGGCCACCAAAAAAAAAAAAAATCACAGCAACTAACACCAATATAAAATGAATGAACGTCTAAAGAAGAAAGTCTATAAACTCAATGCCTTCTGTTCTTTGTCTTCTACAGCTTCGTCTCATCCCAAATCCAAACCTGCAAACAACATGCTAACCTTAGGTTCAAAAGAAGCAAGTTCTGAACACATATTTGGAGAGGCATCTAATAAAAGCCTCTTTAGTACAGTAACCAAGATGCTTATTGCCATCCAAAAAAATACTTAAGATTACATCATTCCATGAAATTTATCGACTTAAAAAAATACTTTGGTCACAGCATTCAATTGCCAAACTAAACAACAAGAAGCAGCCTTGTCCCCTAAATGACGTTACGACGCCATTTTTCTCTACCAAAAATTGCCATGCTAAACATGTGAATCTTAGATTCCATGATTTTTATGCCTTGGTAACTTAACACCTAAAAACTCCTAAAAAGGGGGACGGAACTTCCTGCAGATACACTAACAAATAAGCTAAGGGCGCCAAAGAGGACAGAAATTAAATGCAAGAACAGCGAAAAGGTTCAAAGGATTAGAGCTCCTTGTCTAAATGAAATGGAAAAGGCAACAATAGAAGACTCTATATAGTCATACCCAAAGAAAAAAAACATGGCCATCTCAGTTAAACTGAAGTATACTTAGTTATGATATGAGTGTTTATTATTTAAAAAGCAGTCTTGCTGTTAAAGTTATCAATGACAGTGTGTAGGGATTATATTTATGAGAGGCAACTAGGGTTCTCTTCAGTTGTTTTCTTCTGTTTACTTGGGTGTTGAATTTCATTTGGTGTACCAAAGAAAAAAGAGAGAATCAGGGACCCCACAATAACACATATTTGAATAGAATCAAGAGGTTCTCCATTAGTGACAAGGTACCAGGGGGCCAACTTCACACCAGTGACTTTGCTTGACAACACAGGCATAAAACCATAATGCTCCTGAGTATATAATAGGATATTATTACTCACTCCGACCTAAATATAGGACTCTTTTTAACTAATTCACCATGATTAAGAAAATTGTTTATTAATGTGAAAAATATCTGTACCACTCTTCCACGTTTATCCCAGCATTTAATGGGATGTTTTAACTAGTAATATCTTTTTACGAAAAAAAATTGAGCATTAATTAGGGATATTTTGGTGAAAACAGTATTTAATGAAGGAGACAACATGGATGGGTTCATACATGAAGGACCAAAGCAAATTGCACAAAAGGGTCTTATATTCAATATTACTCATACAAACTCGTCCCAAAAAAAAAACACTTTCTAGCAAGAAAATGTCTATCTGATACAGATGAAGGCCTAAAATATTACTAATTCAGATACATGTATTTATGTTTTATGAGTTAACTATACATGGGGCTATATTCAGAAAACATACAATGATCCCCACTCCCCGGTTCATCGATATATCGTTCTTAAGGTTGGTAGAAGTTCAAAAGGTGTTATGTTCCCATTGAATTGAGGTGTTAGGATCTGATATTTTTAAGCTACTCATGCTCCTATTTTCAAAACAACTCAAATATCTATGCAAAGTGGGCTAAGAATACACCAGCTTATAATAAGCATGAAAGTAATGATGAAAATGACAAAAGCTTTCACCAGTCAGAAAGGAACTAGTAGGTTGGCATCACATTAATGCTCACTGATGACGGATTTAAAGGTAAAATGAGCTGTAGAAAACTACAGAACTACCTCATATCGTTCCAGCACTATACTTAACACGTGGTGATAGTATGTGTTGCCCACTTAACCATTTACACAAAGAATATAAACTGTTCGCTCATATTCAGAATCTAGACCATCAGTTGCACGAGGAAATGAACATAGTTCTGGCTTAAAAGGAAGAAGGTTTATCTGTCTGGTCAAACTTTTCTATTAACAAAAGATCCAATAACAAGAGAAGCCACACCAAAATTACGATAAATTATACAAAAATCTACACTAGAATGCATGAAAAAACATTACCTCAAGTCAAAAGTTAGCTTGCTGACTTTTTTCCTGTAATAATCTGGAATATCCGGAGGCCCCTGCTGAATGCTTCATTGAAAAGAACTCTGGTCTGCATAGACTGAAACCCTGGCAACCATGACAGCAATGCTACAGGAGCCATAACAATGACTCCAAATAATATATCATATAGACGAGCCACAGAAACAACCCCATTCCAAATGACGGATGACTGCAGAAATGGCTGGAATACCTGGGCAATCAATATAAGGCCCCAGCCTGTGGGAATGAACGCCAACATGCTTGTAAAAATATCCACAAACTTGAATTCAGTAAATTCCAGCAAGAAACTTATCACAAGTATCACAAGGATAATGACAAGGAACTGAACCAGCCGATAGTAGATATGCTCTTTTGCTGCATATTTGTTCCGTGCATATGATACTGCCACAAAAAACCCAAAGACAACAAACACATAGATCCAAGATAACAAGTATACAGCAATACTGGTACTTCCAGCAGCAATACCTAGCTGATAAACAATTCCAAACTGGAAAAAGAAGAACCGAAGGTCCAAAATTATCTCCAATAACTTTCCCCAAAGGCCAGTTACCCTTAAATGATCTTGCTCTTCACACCACCATCTTTCCCAGCTCTGTTCGGCTTTAGCAAACACACTTCCCTGGTACCAAATCCAGCTCATAAAATCATCAAAATCATAAACAGTCTTTAACCAATCAAAGCCTGAAGGATTGAACACAAATGGCGCCATAATCCATGATACAACTAGAAACCAACTAGTGATGGTCAGGGCTATATAAACAAAAGTGTCAGTTGCTACAGGGCTGTGTGATGCATAAATTATAAGAATCAGCCCCAATTCAATTGCTTTCACAAAATGGCTGCGAGCATATAGCCTATAGTTTTCTGCAAAACTCTTGTGCTCTACAACAAATCCACGACCAGTTGCCCGATACTTTGCCCCACCATGAAGGATTGTCCGGCCAAAGAAATGGCTACGAGTACCCATAGAGAATGTGTAGAAAACTGATGAAAGCTGGAGCTGCATTGTCAGGAAATCCCAGATAGCTTGAAGGAACCCATGCTCCAGGGAATTCTCCACAATCATGGGAAGGGCAGTGAAAATACCAAGCTGGATGATGAATTGCTGATTTAAAATGGTACCAAGTGCTTTATTGTTATTGCTGTTACTCTCCATAGAAGCTTCAACACCACTAAGAGCAAGATAGAGTCGTCCCCATAAAAATGCGTACACAGTCAGAACAATCATCATTGTGTTGAAAAAAAATCCCACAGTAGTGTAGAAGAACGAGAGCATACGGAAGAAATCAAGCCTATGACCCAACCTGTAGACATCTCTGCTTAAAACTTGCTCCCCATTTCCACTGGCAACCTTGGCTTCAAACATAGATATTTGATTCAACCCAACATCCCTTCCCTTTCCAACCTGAATGTATTCATGGTGTGTGACATTACCTCCACGGAGAGTGCAATTAAACCCAGCAAAAATGTCTTCACTTATGTTGATCACTCTGGAAGCTTTACTGATGCCACCTCGAGTTAAGAACCAAAACCTGTCAAACACATCTGGATGACCATAATGCATTCGGACTTTCAAAGGATTTGCCAAAACCCTCTGCCCTAAGGTTACAAAACTTGTTTCCTGAGCTGACATGAACCAAGCAAGAGAGGAAACAGAACCAGTAAAAATGTGTTCTCTAACTCCTAAAATAGTAGGTTTCCGAATCCCATAATAATGCTTGTATTCTTCTAAGAGATTCCGCATTTTAAGCGCCTCTTCAAAGTAGTTGTCCTGGTTCATGTCAATAGTCTGAACAGCATCACCCCGGCTGAAGATGATGGCATGATTTTGATTTTCTGGCTTTCCTTCTCCAAGTTTCAAGGGACCTGGCAGCTTTATACGATATATTTCAACCTCCTTATCCAATTGTTGGTCATATTTGACAAGAACAGAGTAATAATCCTTTGCATCCCTTCCAGTGGTAACCTCATCCACATAGGCAACTCGAAGAGCTTCATTATTTTTCATTAGATACAGTATTTCATCAGCATGGGGGTCCTTTTTCTGTTTTTGAGTCCCATATATCTGGCAAGCAACCACATACGTGAATTTCATCAAAGCAGTCCCATTTTCATGGCCTTTGAATAACAAACTAACAGAACTGCTGGCCCTACTTAGACTCCTAGAGGAAGGAAACCTTTCAGAGTTAATACCATCCAAACTGTCTCCCCTCATTGAACCCAGCTCACGTGAGCCTTCTCGAATGTCCATTTCTGATGCAGAATCAAGAAAAGCCAACATCTTAAGGGCCCGATAATAATACATCATTCCTCTGACAGTCCGAGACAGTGTTTGACCTCTGTAAGATGCCCAAAGCCTCAAATCTCTAAGTTTGTCGGTCCATATATCACTGTCTTTCATCATCCCCTCCCGCCGCATCCTTTCCATAAAATTCTTCCACTCATCATCAAATATAGTCTGCAAATAGTATAGGATTGAAATCCCATCTTCATTCTCAGTTCTTAGTTGTTCTTTGCTAAATAAAACGTCTTCACTGTAGTAAGGGGTCAAAACACTGAAAGCCATCATTTTCTCAACTTGAGGAGCATGGGGCATATTCATAAAAAGTGAGTTACTGAAGAATGCAATCCGCCGCCTGGCTTCAAGATTTACAGGAATGTTTTGCATTGAATCCCTGGAGGTAAGAATTGTGTGTAAGCGTCGAACCTGCCGATAGAAGTTCTCATCATTGGTGTCCGGCAGCCGAATAGCATTAGCAAAGAGTAAACCCCCTGAGGAAGCCGGATTGCATGGAGCCAAGCCATCCTCACTTAGCTGGCCAGCACTCCTTTTGTCCTTAAAAAAATCTCGCATAGCAATCTCATAAAGGGCCTGTAGGGTATTTACCAACTTGATAGAGTCTATCTGGGGCTTGTTCAATAACTCAACAAGTATAATCAGCTTGCTGTGCATCTGGGGCAGCGCAGTTGTTTTAAATGTTTTAGTGAATCGCTCAATTGCAAGTGAGTGATCAATTTCTTGAAACAAGACTGTCACAATAGAATGCTCTTCACTAATAGGTTTGATAATCTCAAGGATCAAGTGCTTGATACAATCATATACTTCAATGACAGCACAGCGCCTATACTCATTCTTGCATATCTTCTTCCAAAGCCACCTATCAGGACTATCAACTAATTCTTTGGCCTGACTAAGTGCCAGCAGCAACTCATTGCAGAGAAGAAGACATGGCCAGCGAATCACCCTGACATTCCAAGAGTTTGGTGGGAGCTCCAGCAGCTCAACCTCTCGGTCAGAGATGATATCCTCCTCCCTGAAAGATGAAATTATCTCATTCCATATCAACGCAAATTTGGTGGCCTCAACCTGGTTAGACTCAAGCTTCCTGTAGGGCTGGCCAAACCCATACCTGAGCTTCAACCTATGGATAGCATCCTTAAGCCTGTTCTTCAGTGTCCCTCTTGCATTTAACAGCTGTTCCTCTGGCATAAGATTAAACTGGATTGCACTAGCAAAAAATTGAAATCTCAATCGCAGATGTTGCATATTTCGAATCTCACCCAAGTGTGAAAACAATCCCACAGCTGCCCCAACTAAAGATGAATATATCGAATACCAAATCTGAATATCCATCAAATAGACCAAAACAACAGGAAGCCACAGAAGTCCAACAGCAAGTCTGTTGCTGTTGCGAAGAAACTCATGCCATTCATACTCAACATTCTTAAGACCCAACACTGCCTTAGATGGAGCAATCATGGGTTTAATCTGGAGGAAGTAACTGAAACAAAACTTAGTGGCAAGCACCACAATCCAGAACAAGGTGTATTTAATGTTATCTACAAGACCTTCTCTCAAGCCACGACCAACAAAAGATCTACTCTGAAACCACCAGGATAGGATGTAAAAGATTCTCCAATTTGTTTTCTCAATAAAATTTCTAACCCAAGGAATTATGAAGAGGGCTAGAGCAAGGAGCTCTGGAATGATAAAAGCAAGTGCAACCTCAAGAAAATTCACCACCCGCCTATTTGCTTCAGCTGACCACCTCCTATCTTGATGTCTTTGTGACCATATCCTCCCATAAAATACACCAAAGACAACAATCCAGACAGCAGCAACGACACATTTGAGAACCATTCTCACTCCAAGGCCCATGGTCTCCCTTGAAACCAGCTTATAATGCATCCCTGCATCAAGCAAAGACTGCAGAAACCTCAAACCACTCCAAGTGAAGAAAATTGTTAAAACTCGAACCTGTACAGTCCTATCCTCCAATGCTTGCCAAGGATATTCTTTCTGCTCCCAAGCAACAATAATGGCCGCTTGGAGAAACAGTATCAGCATCACCCAAAGCCTATCGAAACTCCGGAATAAATTCCAAAACGACCTCTGCTCCACAAAACCTGTCTTACCCACATGCTTTGCCCTACTGGATGTCACAAAGAAGTTGCTTCCAACATTGATAGGCCACTTCAGCTTCTCAAAACACCGTTTACTCCAAAAATATTCGTTTATATCATCATAATTTCTCCAAGCACTGTGAGGAGCCGTTCCATTCTTGCTATTATCTACCTCAGCCTTCATCGTTTCATAAATGGGTTTAACCACACCGTTCAGGAACCCATTCTCCCCGGTAATTGAGGGGATCACGGGCTGGCCAGTATTCTCATCTATATAATCTTCCAAGATCTTGTTCAGCTCCATGGCCATGTGATGGAAAATATAGCAGAGGCATTCCGGGACAAATCGAAGATTAGCAGCCTCACCCCAGATCAGGAGATAGAGGGAAACATAAAGCAGCTCTCGTCGCTGGTCAGAGGAGGCCCCTCGGCGATCGGAAATCCAAATGTTAGATTTCTTTCCCAAATAAGAGCACCAATTGCTGTAGTTCTTCAAGAGCTTCTTCCGGAATCTTCGCAGAACAGTACCATCCAAAATGTCGATGTTATCAGGAGGAGGGGTCAAGCGCATCTGGGCATTTGCAAGGTGAAGCACTAGGTGTTCCCGCTGGTTCCGAACATTTTCCTTCTGAAAGCCAAAGAAAAGGGCGAGCCAGTCGAGGAGGTCCATGTTAGGCAGCCATTGAGTGAAAGGGGGCTTCCGGAGGTTACCAACGGCACGAATAGCAGCCGCTGCGGCGCGTACCTCCGGGAACCGGAGAGAAGGGTGATCGGCGAGGAGATTGTGCACCGGGATGATGTTGTAAACTTCATCTTCCGGCAGCTGACGGGGCCGGCTTTGAGTGGAAGCCGGAGGGTGACGTTGGCGAAGACTCATAGCATCAGGAGCAGAGAAAAAGAGAGCGAAAAAGAAGAAGAAGAAGAGACTATGAATGGGTCATGAAAATTAAATGTTTAGGGATTCGAAAGACGGTGAAGTTTCAGTGATTTCAGGAGAGGAGAGTCGTCATGGTGGTGGTGCTGGCAGTTGGTGATTCGGTGTCTAACGGAAAAGCCCTTCATGAAAAATTTGAAGTTAATGCTAAATTATTACTAAATTCATAGAGAGTAACTCATAAAAAGAAAAAAGAAAAGAAAAGAAACGAATTCCTGTAAGAACCAAGTAGGAGGAGGTGGGGCTTCTCACGACGCCGGATGGGAAAATGTCAAAAACATCGCGTTTTTGACCAAGCAGTGAGAAAGTAGAAATTATATTATATTTATAATTTATAAATTTACGTACATAAATGTAATATATTTTTATTAAGAAACTAGTTTTTAGTGCATGTTTGGAAAACCAAAACAATCAATTTTAAAAGCTAAAACTATGATTTTATGAAAATATATCCAAACACATCTTATTATATCAAAATCAATTATGAACAAAAAAATGATTTGTAAAATAATTTATATGATTTTTGAATAAATTTGTAGAAATGTATAATTAAAAAAATGAATTGAAAAGCAAGTAATAGAAACTTATGAGATAAACATGGTTTTTGATTTATAATTAATTTTGACATGTATTGGTGTTTGGATATTTTTAAAAAAATCATAATTTTTAATTTATAATTAATTTTGATATGTATAATGAGTGTTTGTATTTTTTTAAAACATGATTTTAAATTCATAATTAATTTTAAAGAGAATTACATTCAGTCCTTCTCACAAATATCAATCATAAATAAAAACTAATATAAAATAATTTGTTATTAAAATAAAAATATTATTTATTTTTTAATAAAATTTATTATTAATTCTTATTTGTAATTTATTACCTTATGAAATCAACAATAATATCTTATGACATGAATGATTTATTATTATAATAATGAAAGTTTATTTGCTTTCCCTTGTTTCAAGGGTTCCTCACATGCAATTGAGAGCTTCTTTTTCTTTTTTCTCATATCTATTATTAAAATTCACGCCAGGCCACTGAAGGTGAAGGTGAGTGTAGGACAGGCAGTCTCAATTGCTAATAATGTTATATATATATATATATATATATAAATTAATTCGTCCTCTAAAATAAATTCAATTTATGCCAACTCAGAAAAATAAATATTTATATTATTTAAGTGCCTTTTGGTGAATCGAGAGGGGAAGGAGAAGATGAAGGGGCTTGAATGGACGAAATTGATATCCTAGGGCTTAATTTGCTTGCTAAAAGAAGGTAATAAAAATTACCCAAAAAAATTAAATAACGTAATAAAATGAAATAGAGAAATAAAAAAATAAAATAATCAAAATGTGAAGAAAAATAAGTCAATTATATTTATGAGAAAGAAAAGATAATTTAATTTATAAAATTTATAATGAGTGTGACAAGTTTCATACATATAATATTAATATTTAATTTTATTATATTTATTGAATTATGATAAGAAATGACAATTTGATTCCATCTTATTTTAATTTATGGAGTTCATTTCGTTCTCATGCCTTGTTTGCAGCGTAGCAATCAAGCGTCTTTTCAGTTTCAATATAGAAAACCAATATTATATTGGCCTCAGAATAATTTTATTATTCTCTACTATTATTGGCATTTATATTTTTTTTATTTATCTCCATTGCTTTGTCAGTCAAAGTGGGTTTCGACTTTCGAGAGGATTTCTCTTTGTTGTTTAGCTTTATGATTATAAATAATAATATGTTATAATTTTTCATTTTGCATGAAAAAAATAAACTTTAATTTTAAAAATGTGAAAAAGCAATAAAAAAAAGTTAAAAAGAGAAAGAAAAGTGAGGATGATGAAACTGAATTGGGCAGTAGTAGTTTACTAGTAAATTTCTAAAAATTTTAATTTTAATATTTAGTTTCAACAAAACTTTGATTTTCCCCCCTTCCAACAAAATTTCTGATAATCTATAACATATCTTCATTTTTTCAATACCCATTCTTTATAACGATTGTTCCTGAAAAAAAAGCTAACCTATCTTTGATGTTTTCCCACTAAATCTCCAAATATTTCCAACCTATATTTGATTTTTTTTTTTTTAGTGTCCATCATTAGTATTTTCCCTATGTTATCCTTTTTAAGGATTATTATTGAAAAATCAACCTTCATTTTATCATTCTTAAATTAAATCTAAAAAAATTCAAACTATCTTTAATGTGAAAAAATAAAGGATTTTATTTTTCAAAAATTTATAAAATATTTGATCTTTAAGTGTCATTAAAAGCTTTTAAATATCCTCGAAAGTAATTTATTTTCATTTTAAAATGTTCAAATCTCATTTTTTTTTCATTTTAAAATATGAAAAAGCAATGCAAGAAGTTGGAAGAAGAGGGTGAAGTTGGATGAAGTGGGCAGAGGGTAGCGCGGAATATCAAATTTTGATATTTCATTTAAAAAATGTATTTATGTCAAATTCAATAAATACTTACATTTTTTAAATAAATTTTTATAGAATGTACAATTAAAAACCAATCATATGAGAAGATTTGCATTAGTTGTGAACAACAAAGAGGAGATATTTTTGAGAAGCTCAGCAACGCCACATCATTTATTTATAATCTGTTTAATAAAAATACGATATTAAAATGATATTAAATATAAATTAATTATGGCATTAGTGATAGTAGGAAAATAAAATGTAAGAAATTAAATATATATTCTATTATAAAATAATGTCATGTAAGATTTTATTTAAATAAATTGAAACATTTATTTAAAAACTTATTTTGTTAGTTATTCACAGAGAAAGTTATCAAACTCTATAATTGATTCTTCGAGGTTAACATTTTTACATTTATAATTTATAAAATCATGTCAATTCACTTATAAACTTAAATTAAATACAAACTTGATTAAACTTACTAGTTTATCTCTAAATTTATCGTTTTTATATTTTTAATTCATAAAATCATGTCAATTATTCATAAATTTAAACTAGATGCAAGTTTGATTAGACTTGTTAAGTTCATCAAATTTTTTCTTTTTCAAGTTAAGTAAGTTAATTATGTACTACGAAAAATTTAATTCATAAAAGTTATAAGACTTAATAAAAAACTTAAAACAAAAAATATCAAAAATAAATTTCCCTATTTTAAAATATCTATGTCTTATATGACATTTTATTAACGTAGATGGATTTAATTTTAATGACTTATATTTTAATATATTTAAATTAAATTACAGTCATATTTTATATTTTACTTATTTAATAATAATTTTTTGATAAATTTTTATTAATAGAGATAAACTTTTATAAGTTTACAATTCAAATTTATAATTTAAGTTTACATTTTTATCACAAGTTTATTTCAACTCGTAAGTTTAATAATTTTTCTCGTAGCTGCATTTTTGGATTTCAATCATAGAAAATCATGGTTAATTAGTTATATTATACTCTTTTCATTTAAAAATGTAAGACATTTTTTGAGGAGTTTGATATTCAAAAATATAAAGTATTTTTAGTTTTTGAGATGTAATCATTGCTTTTTTTTCAAAAGTACCCCTATTAATAATGACTTTATATTTATTGTAGGGTGTTTAATAAGGATAAATATGAAAATATAGGGTTAGTTGAAAAGTACGTAACTACTTTATTAGAGTGAGATTCGATTAAAAATACCTTACATTTTTAAACAGAGGGAATATAATTGATTCCAGTATCTTCTCTTTTCCACAAATTTTCTTTTACTTTAGGTTTTTCCCCTTCTATGTATTTCCCTTTCTTTGAACCCTAATTCTAGATGTCTTCACTTGAAATTTTAGGGGCTGTTTAAAATTATTTTTATTTTATTATTTTAAGAATTAATGTTTTGTAAAACATGTTTTGAAAATAAAAAATAGTAAAATAGATATTTTTTCATTCTCCCTGTTCTCCAGAACAATAATCTTGAAATACTTAAAAGTTATTTTTATTTTTCTATTCTTTAAAATAATATTTTATTTTTTTATTCTTCAAAATACTTTTTAAAAATACATTATAAAATATAATTTTTTATTTTTTTATTCTAAATAATTAAAAAATTATTTTTAAAAGAGGTTGTCAAACAGACCTTAAAATTACTTGTGATCTTTTTATATGTTCTTTTTATATTTTTAGTATAATTTTTTTAAATTAAAAAAAGAAAAGTAAGACTGTAAGAGTAGCTCGGCGGACACGCCACGCGGACGCAAGTTGGAATTAAATTTGAAAGCAAAGTGGCGGGCGGCATGGTTCTGTCTCCGGTGGGCCCCACATTCCGATTCATCTTTTTAACCGTTAAGCACTTTTGTCCGGATTTTATTTCTTTGGGACCAAAGACCGATCAACCATATAATGGGACAAACAAGGACCCACAGGCCTCGGATGAGAATTAAATGAAATTTTATCCAAAATTTTGAATAATTTAAAGTTAAAAGTTTTTTTATCTTTATTCAGGTGAATTTTTTTTAATTTTAAATTTTTTAAATAATATTTTTATTTACAAAATGAGAGTTAAATAAATACTATATTTATTTTAAACTCTTTAACTATTAATAACTCATTAATATCATTACGAAATTATAGTATTAATAAGTTATCTAGAAAAACCTTATACATGGAACAAATTAAATAAACATCTAATAGTTTTTTTATCAAATAAACTTATTTTAAATTTACATTTAAATATTAATAAAAAAAAGAAACAATTTTTGATGGATTTTATTTTTTTTCATGAATATACCATCTCGTAATAAATTAAATAAAAACAAATTTTAGATTAATAATTGTGGTATCCTTATTTAAAGTTTTGATAAATTGTTATAATAAAAATCATAAATGGAGAATTATCTAATGAAAATTTCGAAGGGAAAGTTTCAGCAAAAGACCCCATAAGGGTTTACTTTTAAATCAAGACCAATATAACCTAAAATTACACCACAAAACTAAGGGATTAAAAATTTAAAAATAAAAATTCAGCGGAAATGATTAAAATACCCTTTATTTTTTAAAATATGAAGTGAAATTGTTAAAAACGCTAACTTAACTTATCATTTTATTAATGCATACTTATTAATTCA